CCTCTTCTTCCCCCGCCTCCTCCTCCTCCTGCTCCTGCTCCTCCTCCTCCTCCTCCTCCTTTTTTGTTGGCCAGGCCTTTTGTGTGAACATGTGGCGTTTTTGCGACTGTGGGGAAACAAACGACTCGGCGCAAAAAAACGGCGGGCGCCGCGCAATATGAGCTAAGGCAAATACAAGAAACATTGCAGACAACAGAATAGGCACCCGCCAGGTCATCGAGGTCGGCGAAACACATGAGAGGGTAAGTCCTCCTCGTCCACCTTCACCACAATAGGCCTAAGGTAAGGGAACGTACGATCAGTTGGTGATGTCGCCTCGGTAAGCAACGCCCCAGTGTGTATTTTGGAGTGCAACACAAACAACAACAGTCCTCCTTCTCCTCCTCCTCCCTTCCCTCTCCTCCCTCCTCCTCCTCCTCCTCGTCTTCTTCTTCTTCCCCCTCCTCCTCCTCCTCCTCCTCGTCCTCTTGCTCTTCTCCCCCCTCCTCCTCTCCTCGTCTCCTCCTCCTCCTCCTCTCCCCCCTCCTCCCCCTCCTCCTCCTCTCCTCCTCCTCCTCCTCCTCCTCCTCCTCCTCCTCCTCCCCGATCTCCTCTCCCCCCTCCACGTTCTCCTCCTCCTCCTCCCTCCTCCTCCTCTTCATCCCCCTCCTCCTCCTCCTCCTCCTCGCTCCTCCTCCTCTCTGTCCTCCTCATCCAATTTTCCATCATCCTCATCTCTCCTCGTCCTCCTCCTGCTCCTCCTCCTCGTCTTCCTCCTTCTCCTCCTCGCCACCTCGTTTTCTCCTCCTCCTCCTCCTACTCCTTCCTCGTCGTCCTTCTCCTCGTCCTCTTCCTCCCGCTCCTCCTCTCCCTCCTCCTTCTTTTCCTCTCCCTCTTCCACTCTTCTTCTCCCTCCACCTCGGTGCTCCTCCTCCCTCCTTCTCCTCCTCCTCCTCCTCCTCCCTTTCCTCTCCTCCTCCTTTTTCCTCTCCCTTCTCCTCCTTTTCCTCCTACCCTTCCCCTCCTCCCTTCCTCCTCCTCCCTCCTCCTCCTCCTCCTCCCTCCCCCTCCTCCTTCGCTGCTCCCTCCTCCTGCCTGCGCCTCCTCCTGCTGTTGCTCCTCCTCCTCCTCCTCCACCTCCTCCTCCTCCTGCTCCTCCTCATCCTCCTCCTCTTCCTCCTTCCCCATCTCCGCGTCTTCTCCTCCCTCCCTTCCTCCCTCCCCCCTCCTTCCCTCCATACGCCCCCTCTCTTCCCCCTCCTTTTCGGGCTTTTCGGGCCCCTGGGGCCAAGTCCGCACCCTGTCGCGCAAATCCCGCTCCCAAGGGCTCACGGGCGCCAGGCTGGCCTCCCAAGAAATGAAGCTCCCACGAGCCATCCCCCACACCGCCTCCTCCTCGGTTGTGGACCTCTCCTCCTACTGTATTTTTCTGGATTCGCGTACCTGTTCCTCGTCCTCCCTCCCTCCCTCCCTGCCCCCCCAAATGGTCGTCCTCCCTCTCTCCCTACCTGTTCGTCGTCCTCCCTCCCTCCCTCCCTCCGCACGCCCAAATGGTACGGAGGCCAACAACATGTTGTCCAAAACAGTCAGCGACTGGTGTTGGGCAAACGACCTTTGCCTTGAATGGACAACGTCCGCAGCGATACCGACAACGAGTCCTGTTTCAAATGGACAGAGCCTGGCAGAAACTGCTGACTGTCTTCGTCACTTCTCTTTCCGAGTCTTTCGACCGTACTTGTTAGCGGTTTTCCCACTTTCACTCATTTGGTTGCCTGGTTTGGGGCGGTTTTCCAGTTTCGGTCCCGCGACCTAACCCAGCCGCCCTCGGCTGTGGGGCGGAAGGGTGGTCCTGGCCCAGGGGGGGGGGGAACAATTGCCTGGAGTCGGCGACATGTTTCCAACATATCGGCAACAAACCCATGGTAGCCAATCCGCGTACTCCTTGGCAGGGTGGGGCACCCGAGTGCTGAATCGGCACCGAGTGGCCTTTGGCCTTGCTGCTCCCTCCCCCCCCATGTGCCATCCCCCCCTTCGGCCCCCCCTGTTCGGCACAGTGGCTGGCACAACTCTCCCACCAGAGAGGAGCAGGGAAAGACGACAGCCACCATCGCGCAATGGAGGTCCTTCGTGGTGTGGCGTCGCTGTCTTTCGGCACCCCGCCCAAGGCGCCTCCAAGCTCCAGCACTGGGAAGCATCGTGGTCCTGCTCGCCACGGGTGGCCCTGCTTTTGGTCTTGGTGCCGCGTTTCCCCCCTCCAGGCCAGAACCATCCACATTTGAATGCTGGCCGCCCTGGCGCGCCCAATCGGCGTGCGGAACAGAGGGCGGCGCTACTGGGGCATGGGCGTCGTTGGGCCAGGCGATGGCGGCGCGCCCTGCGCCTGAGGGTGGCGGAGGCACGCAGGCTGCAAGGGAACAGTCTCTACACACTGCACCAACAACCTGTCTGGGAAGCCACGCCGGAATCCTCTGGTTACTGCTTCATGTCTTAGAGCCGCAATGCCATACCAGGGCGTACACCACAAGCACTTCATGCTGCAGTGCTATGTGTGAACCCTGCGTGTGCAACCGAGCCATGATGGTACCAGACATAGGGTCCAAACAGCCACCAGGCAAGGTAGGCCAGGTCTGAACGCCACGCGTAGGGGTTCGAACCATGAGGTCCAAGCAGCCACAGGAACATGTGCGACACAAAGGCCAGTGGGGCGGGAAAGAGGAGTCCAACCTGTGGGTTCTAGGCCACCACGGTCCAAAGAGTCAGTGGAAAGTGTTGCACCCATAGCAAGTGGGGCAGGAAACCATACATGATCCAAACTGGAGGGCTCCAAGCAACCACTAGAACACTGCGGCACCCAAGTCCAGCGGGGCGGGTCACAATTTCATCCGTGTCTGTATAACGGCACATGTTTATGAGTAAATGCACGCATGTACATGTGAGGCTGTATTTACATACATACATACCTACATACCTACATACCTACATACCGACATACCTACATACCTACATACCTACATACCTACATACCTACATACCTACATACCTACATACCTACGTACCTACGTACCTACATACCTACCTACCTACCTACCTACCTACCTACATACATACATACATGCATACAAACATACATACACACATACATACATGCAAACATACCTACATACATGCATACACACATACATACATACATATATATATATACACATACCTACACACATATACATACATACATACATACCTACCTACCTACCTACATACATACATACACATAGACATGCATACATACATATAAGCATACACATACATACATACCTACCTACATACATACATACATGCATACATACATACATACATACTAGAACCACGCGCGCGCTTCGCGCGCGCTTAGGTTCTGTCGAGTCACAGACCCAGGAATCGTTGTGAGAAGAAATTGGTGACGCGAAGCGTCGTGGGGGCGTCCTTGGACGTCTGGGGTCTCCTGGGGCCTCTTGAGGGGCCTCCTGGGGGCCTCCTGGCGGCCTCTTGGGGCGGAAGGCTTCGTGGTCCCCCTCTGGGCCCCCTCTTGGGCTCGTCTTGGGGCCCTCTTGGGCCATCTTGGGCGCCTCTTGGGCCGTCTTGGGGCCCTCTTGGGCTGTCCTGGGGCCCTCTTGGAAGCTTCTTGGGCCGTCTTGGGGCGGTCTTGGGCGCCTCTTGGGCCGTCCTGTAACGTCGGAAAGCCCAAAAGGCGACTTTGTTGAAAATGTACGTTTTACAAAGGGAATGGGTCAATTTGTGCGCCTAGGGGCCCTCTTGGGACGCATGTTGGAGGCTTCTTGGGGCGTCTTGGGGGCGTCCTTGGACGTCTGGGGTCTCCTGGGGCCTCTTGAGGGTCCTCCTGGGGGCCTCCTGGCGGCCTCTTGGGGCGGAAGGCTCGAGCTTGCGGTTCGTGGTCCCCCTCTGGGCCCCCTCTTGGGCCCGTCTTGGGCCCTCTTGGGCCATCTTGGGCGCCTCTTGGGCCGTCTTGGGGCCCTCTTGGGCTGTCCTGGGGCCCTCTTGGAAGCTTCTTGGGCCGTCTTGGGGCGGTCTTGGGCGCCTCTTGGGCCGTCCTGTAACGTCGGAAAGCCCAAAAGGCGACTTTGTGAAAAATGTACGTTTCACGATGGGAATGGGTCAATTTTTGCGTCTAGGGGCCCTCTTGGGGCGCATGTTGGAGGCTTCTTGGAGCGTCTTGGGGGCGTCCTTGGACGTCTGGGGTCTCCTGGGGCCTCTTGAGGGGCCTCCTGGGGGCCTCCTGGCGGCCTCTTGGGGCGGAAGGCTCGAGCTTGCGGTTCGTGGTCCCCCTCTGGGCCCCCGCTTGGGCCCGTCTTGGGGCCCTCTTGGGCCATCTTGGGCGCCTCTTGGGCCGTCTTGGGGCCCTCTTGGGCTGTCCTGGGGCCCTCTTGGAAGCTTCTTGGGCCGTCTTGGGGCGGTCTTGGGCGCCTCTTGGGCCGTCCTGTAACGTCGGAAAGCCCAAAAGGCAACTTTGTGAAAAATGTACGTTTTACAAAGGGAATGGGCCACATTGTGCGTCTAGAGGCCCTCTTGGGACGCATGTTGGAGGCTTCTTGGGGCCTCTTGGGGGCGTCCTTGGACGTCTGGAGGCCATCTTCAGCATCTCGGAGCCCTCATGGAGGCCTCTTGGAAGTTTCTTGGGCCGTCTTGGGCGCTCCTGGGGCCGTCTTGTCTGACCGGGGAGGCCTCCGGCAAGCCCCGACGAGCCTCCGGGCCCCCCGGGGTGCACATTTGCGGTCGAGGTCCCGGCCCCGGGCCCCCGGACCCGGTGCGCCGTTATATGTATACAGACAGACAGACAGACAGACAGACAGACAGACATACATACACACAACCATTCGTATACATGTGTGTATACATACGTATCGGCACATACGCAGGAGTCCGAGGCAGTGGGTCCAAGCAGCCACCGAAAGAAGGCCAACGTCTGGGGCCAGCTCCTTAGAACTCAAGTAAGAACTCCTGAGTGGAAACACTGTCTGGGGAATATGCCTCCTCCACCACAGACGTGGCGGAACTTGAAGGAAGGGGGCGTCACCCTCGCCGACAGATCTGGAAGCAGTCGATAATGCCCACGCGGCCCATGTGCATCAACATTATGCGTGCATTACCCCAGACCAAACAAAGCTGTATTCCGAAGGCTATTGCCTCGATAGGTGACCTTTTTGCGTGGGAATTTTGACTCACCTAAAAACTGGCCCCCAACACGATCTACTTGAAATAACTAGCAACACCCCCACACACGACGAACTGCACGGCAACTATCGTACTCCAACAAATTCGCGCATTCGAATTGCAAAATGTGGAAAGTCGATGTGTGCCCAAGGGGATGACCGTTTGCGCTGCGGCAATTCTGTGTCGCAGGGGCAGAGGTCAGAGTACACGAGCATTAACGGTGGTGTCGACCAAGGCAGCGGTCGCCTTGCGATCTCTCGGTGACAAGGCCTGTCGGAAACTGCCCCGGGCATCCTGGGAAGCCCAACCGCGCGCGCCAGACGTGCACCCAGAACCCATGATTGGCGCTGGGCCTGCGCCTTCCCTCTAAGAAGCCTTCCCCCTACCCCCACCCCCCATCTGCGCGCCACTAAGCTTAGGTCGGGCATGTCCTCCTACACGCGGATTTAGCAGGGAACATGAAAACGACCCCACAAGTATTCAAACATAGCAAACAATACTAGAACCATCGTCCCAATACTATTTTTCGACTATTCTTGAACATTCCTCCTGAAGAGAAGCATGCCCGACATAACACTAAGCGACGGGCATTCCCAGCAGCACCCGAAAAAATCCCCACCCCAGCAGTCCCGCCGGCGCTGCTCCTCGCTGCGGGAGGCCCCCCCCTCGAGAGACGGGCGCTCTCCGGGCGCGCGGGGGGCCTGCCATCTTGGAGAATCGGGGCCTTCCCCCCTCCTCCTCCTCCTCCTCCTCCTCCTCCTCCTCCTCCTCCTCCTCCTCCTCCTCCTCCTCTCCTCCTCTCCTCTGCTCCTCTGCTCCTCTTTCCTCCTCCTCCTCCTCCTCCTCCTCCTCTTCTTCTTCCTCCTCCTCCCCCTTCTGCGCGTGGCTAGCATACGCCACACACCCGCGAGTGAACGGCCTTCGGCCAGACACGGGCGACGATTCAAAACGTGTCTTATGCGAGATGACATAGCGACCTGACGCCGCAGCTTGTGCGGGCCGCCGGCGCGGCACGCACGCCAGATGGGAGGCGAGGACGCTCCCGCGCGAGCTTACGCGGGCAGCTTACGCGCTAACGTCGGTGAAGACGACGCCGTTCTGCTGCGTCGGTCACAGTCGGTGCCAGGCCGTGGCGAGCAGAAGCCGAGGAGAGCGGGCGCGCGGACAGGCCTGCGGGAACAAGCATCGGGTGCTGCTATACAGTGTGCCCGGCCCAAGCCAGGATTTCCGGGGAGGCCCCCCCCAGGGACCAGAGCACCCCTCACGAGGCCCAGAGGGCCCCAGGGGCTCCAAACTGTAAGGATAAGGTGGGGCACCTGGGGCCAGGGGCGCCTGGAGCAGCCCCCAGAAGCAGGACCTCGACACGACCGCTCCCCAGACCCCTCTCGAGGACATGTTCGGACCAGAATTCCAAGGCCCATCTGGCCGTGGCGACGAGGGCCCCCCGAGCAGGGCCCAGATAGGACACCAGGAAGCGCCACAACCACAAACTTTCGGAGGCCTGTGCGGGTTTCTCGGGTTGGCGCTGGGCTCCCCTCCCCTGGCGCGCGACGCGCGCCAGTGGCGCCGCCAGGCGGGTCTGACGCCCATGCAAGAGATCCGCGGAGACCTCCGAGATCCATGTTTGTGCTTCTTTTCTTGCTTGTCGGAAGCGAGGGGGCGGCATCGGTCTCGATCTGTTTACTCAGATCGCACTCCAACAGTTCGCTCGAGGTCGGTCTCCAGGATCACCCCCGGGTCCATCCTGGCCAGCTTTTCGCCCCAAGGCTACTTTTCCGACGGCCACGGGGCCCCTAAGACGGCACCAGGACGCCGAGAACTCAGAACAGCCCGCATTCCCGAGGAGAAGCGCTGCCTTCCCTCGAGGAGCAAACCTGCAGAACCGTGCACCTTCGGAGGCCGGGCACTCCGTGTGGATCGGCGCTGGACCTCCCTCCCCGACGCGCGGCGCGTGCCGGGGGCGGCGCCAGAAGCGCCGCGTCAGGGGACCCCACGCCGACCCAAAGAAAATCCGCTCCGACCTCCGAAAACAAACGCCCGTGTTGTCTTTCTCGGAGAAACGCCGACCCGTCTGCCGGAGGCAGCGGGCAGGGCTGACCCTAAACGATGTTTCTCGTTTTCGTTCTGTTTTCGTTTTCCCTCGTTTTGCCTTCAATCCGCCTTCAACGCAAAACGACATCGAAACGAAAACGGCCCACGAAATCACCACAAACGCCGTTTAGGTCCAGCCCTGGAAGCGGGTAGAGAACCAGGAAGGCGGTGAACGCACATTAGGCTCCCGCCCGCTCCCTGAAGAGGGAGAAACAGGGGAAACCGCTCGGTCGTTGAGGTAGGGATCAGGGGGACGTAAGACCTGGGTACAGGGGACTCGGAAATCCCCGACGAGGTCGTCAAAAAAATGACGAGGCCGAGCCTGCATTTTGACGAGGCCTCCCGTTGCAGACATCCCACGAAACTCCTCCTCGTCAAAATCCGAGGCGCGGTCGTCAAAAACGATGGCGAACCCGTCCTGGCAAACCCGGGTCTTACGCTCCCCCGAAGGGAGGCGCCCAACGCAGAGTGGGATCTTGGAGCCTGGCAAAACTACCTACTTTCAGCGACCGGCGGATGCCCTCTCCTCTGGGGGGTAACGTCTGGCGGTGACCCGGCGCCCCCCCGATGCCTCGGCGCCCACCTGGACGGCGTTGCCCCTCGAGGCCGCCGCCTCCGCCGCCGTGGGCGGCGCTGGGGCCTCGTTGGGGTTCATCCGCGCTTTGTGGGCCCTGCCCTGCCCTTGTCGTCCCCAGGGATGGATGGTCCTCCTCCTCCCTCCTCTTCCAACTCCTCCAACTCCTCCTCTTCCTCCTCCTCCTCCTTCTCCTCCGCCTCCCTCCTCCTCCTCCTCCTCCTCCTCCTCCTCCTCCTCCTTCCCATCCTCCTCCTCCTGCTCCTCCTGCTCCTCCCCCCCCCCTCCCTTCTCACCTCTCGAAGCGAGGTGCGGGTCGGTCATAGGCTCTTTCTGGGAGCCTTCCTGGGGCCACCCGCTCCACTCATGCGCCTGACGCTGCGCCGAACGTCCGTCGACTCGAGTCGAACCTGTGTCGAAACAGAGCCGAGCTGGAGTCAAACCAGAACAGAACAGACCCGTGGGGTGGGTCCCAAGAAGGTCCCCCACACGAGCACCTGAGAAGGGAGCTCAGCTCGCCATCGCTCGGACGCCCATTTCCCGTGCACTTTTCGGCATCGTGCATGAATTGCTTCGCGAGCTTACCCAAAAGGTTCTTCGACGGCTAAGGCCTTAAAAAAGCCGAGCCTAAGGCCGAGAAAAAATGCACACGCCCGAGCGATGTCAACTTAGGATGAAGGAAGCGGGCCCCAGGCTGATGTTCCTGGCCTCCTCCTCCTCGTCCCTGTCCTCGTCCTCGTCCACGTCCTCCTCGTCCTCCTCGTCCTCCTCCCCCTCCCCCCCTCCTCCTCCTCGTCCTGCTCCTCCTCCTCCTCCTCCTCCTCCTCCTCCTCCTCCTCCTCCTCCTCCTCCTCTCGGCGCCAAAGGCGCCAACGAATCGGGGAACGCGCCTGGCAGCGGAGACGAAACCAGCTGCATGCAGCACATTTACCACCCGCTTTCCCTATCTCCCCCCTTTCGTCCGACGCGAGGCCCCCCCCCATTCCCTATCCCCCCCCTTTCCCTATCCGCCTCCCCCGCCCAGAGAAAATCGGTGAACAAAGGGGGATGAAGGCAACTCCGCCTACGGTTCCGCACCCCTCCCAAGGTCCATCTGGTGCAATGTGTCACCCTGGTTCCGTTTTTGGCGGTCCCAGGGCCCGTAAACGGCAACGGGAGGCCGAGAAGGGAAACACACCCAGAACCTCGAACCCCGCCCCCCAAGGGCCTGGGGAGATCTTGGAAGCCTGTTGGGCCGTCTGGAGACCCAGGGGGCCGGACCAAGAGGTCCAACTTACTGAAGCAATGTGCTTTCGTTATGAACTGATAACTCAAACAACTTTTCGGCCTCAAGAGGCCCTTGAGACCGCCCCAGGACAGCCCCTCAGAGTGGTCCGCGAGGCCCTCAAGACGGCCTCGAGAAGGGCCCATGCGGGGGAACACGAACTGACACTTCACCCCCGGATGGTCACCGAGAACGCCAGCAGGCCCCCCTCCCAATAGGTCCTCAGGAGGCCCCCGAGACAACCCAAAGAAAGCTACATGATGCCCCCCAAATGCTTCCAGAGTGACCCCAAGAGGCCTCCGGTCAAAGACCCAGGTACGGTAAATGCATGGGTCGAAGGCCATTCGATTGTACAGACGGAGAGGCCTGGCTTGGGCTCTCGGCGCCATTCCCAAGCAATGGTGTTCTCTGCCCTCCGTTAGCATGTACTTGCGCCAAGCACTAGGAGCCACGTGACATCGACAAGAGGCACCGGCTTGAACATGGTCGCAAGTGAGCGAACGTATCATCCATGCGACTGGTATCACATCCGCCACATCAATCAGCTTAAAGATGTTTGAAGACGAGGCGGTCATGTTCACCCTCTCCCGTCCCCTCATGAGAGTGTGGAAAGTTGGCGTCAAGTCCGCGCTGAAAGAATTCATCTCGCCATCTCCATAGATGTCGCCGATTATCCTCCTGGCGTC